GACCAAACGAGCCAGTCCGTCACGAGCTGGTCTGGTTCGCGGACCAGAAAAAAATATTTTTTTTTTTAAATTTTAAAATTTTAATATATTTTAAAATATTTTTATATACAAATTTTATTTTTATTACATATTTAGTTTGTTTTTGTTAAATTTTTTTTATTATACTTTAAATATTTTAAATATTTTTTAAATATTTTTTAGTATAAAAATTTAATTTTTAAAATCTATATATTTGGTTCGCGGGCCGACTCATTTGGCTCGCGGATTAAGACGATATGGGTTGGACTGATATATTTTTGGCTCGCTAAAAAATGGGCTGAACTGGACTGGACTAAAATTTTTCTAGACCGGAATGAGCCGGGTTAGGCGGGGCCGAACCAACCGGTTTTACACCCCTATCAAAAACTCGTACATTCATCCTCGATAGATTCAAAAATCAAATAGAAAATTGTAGAACCAAAATCATTCAAATTTCTGATCAAATATTATGGCAAGTGAGGTGCGGAAGTAGCGGATCAGATGGGCCGGGATGGTCCATTTACTGTCCACATAGTTCCACAAAGGCCCAAATAGGCCCATTATCAGAGTGTGCATATGAGTTGGCATCCACACGACAATTTACCAAGTTTGGACAAAAACACCCAAAAAGCTAGAAACATTTTCAAATGGGATGTTATTATATTTATAAAAATAACACACACACACACTCATTTTCTCAATACGCCATAAGACAAAAGGGTAATTTCGTTACGACTGAATATGCAATAGAATTTAAAAAAATCACAAAGTTGTGTTTGCTTTGTAGGAAAAAAAAAAAACGAATTCAATTTCTATTGATTATGAAGAGGTCAAGTCCGTCACCGAATTTCATTTCACCATTTTCTTGGAAGAATCATAAAAATGTCAAAACGACAAAAGCCAATCAAATTCTTCTGCTTTCCCTCTTCAACTTTCCCTCTTCCTTTGTCTCCGTCTCTCGCCCACTTTCTCAGCTCCCAAACATACCCTCCGGATTCCAGGAAGAAAGAAGGAAGAGAGAATTCGAATTCTCTCTCTCTGAGATAGATGATAACGCCGAATTGGGAGCTCCGCAGTTGCTGCAACCATGACCAGGTCGTCTTCCTCGCCACCATCGGAGTCTTCACCTTCGTCATCCTCGTGGTCAGTTCCCTTTTCTTGCTAAATCACCCGTTTTTGGTTCCAGGGAAAATGTTGGGGACAAGAAAAAGATTAAAGATAGGAACTTTTGTTGGTTTCTTCGATTCAGTGGAAGATCTGAGGAGTTTTCGTCAACTCTGGTCTAAAGGGTATCCGATCCTGGGGTTCATGTAGCAAATGACTTGTGATTTCATCTAATTCTCACCAATTTCGGTATTTTCATGGTTACCCACATAACGTTTCGTCTCTATTTACTCGGAGTATCTATTATTGATGTTTATGACCTATCTGCATAAGAATTAAGAACTACTGAATTCATGAGAGATGAAAACTTAAAAACGAAATGCTTGTGGTAATTCTGGGAGTTAAGCTCTCATAGCATCAGATTAAACACATACGAACTTGCATTTTCCTGAGATGATGTGATTAGTTTCTCTTCTTTCTTTTTTTTTTTTCCGGGCAATACTTATGTGTTTCTTTTTGGATTTCTGATGTTGGTTACAGCTATGGAGGACATTTCTTTTGACGCCCTTTAAGCTCATAACCGTGTTCTTGCATGAAGCAAGCCATGCCATTGCTTGCAAGCTTACTTGTGGAGATGTAAGGAGCTTTTGATTTCCACTCTACATGTCATGAAAGGGTACACAGAGCCAATTTCGATTGATTGAAAGTTCTAACACTTTGTGGTTCACTTCGACAAAATGTGGTGTGGTTGAAACCTGTGATCCGTTATGAGAACATAACCTGGTCTTAGAAACACAAATTATTTTCAGGAATCCCATCTAGGGCTCGAGTAGATTGACTGTGAAACTCCATCCTGTAGGTAAAATAAATTTGGTTTGCTAAAATGAATCTGGCATCGTATTTATGTTGTTCTTTTGGGGTTTGGAAGTTCATCAAAGGATCGCAAAGCCGGATATTACAGTTTGCATGTTGTAGAGATTAAGATTGTTTTTTCCCAAATCATAGAGACATTGCCTATAGCCAGATTATATGCCTGTTTGGTACTTGTCTTGTCAAGACACGATTTCTGTTGTCTGGATCTGTATTGCGGTTGGGTTTCATGAGAATTTGAATAACCGCTATGATGCAACGGTATGTTACCTGGTGCAAGTGTTAGAGAAGAAGAGGATAAACCCGGAAACTTTGCTCCTCTGCTAGAGTTGCTTAAATGAAAATCTTCTATTTCATCATTCTGTCTCACTGCAACTTAGCCTTCTGAGCAATGCAGCCATCAGAACTCTAGATGCTCTAGGAAGCTTGTCCATAACACTCAGTCAAACTCTTTAGCACAAAAATTGCAGGTTTGGTGAGGTGATGTATCTGCAAAATGGTCACTTCATTTGCACAATCAGATAAAACATCAATTCCCACTGTCCATTATCTCCATTTTCCATTGCATACGGTTGAAAAATTCATCATCATCTTGAATCTGCAGGTTGAAGGGATGCAGGTTAATGCAAATGAAGGGGGGTCGACTACAACACGTGGTGGCATATATTGGCTGATCTTACCCGCTGGCTGTAAACCACATCCCCTTCCTTTGGAACATCGATCTATAAAATACGAAATCACCTCTTTCTTTGAAACTGTACTCACTTTGTCAACTGATATAGCCTTCACATGAGTTGAAGCACCGAGATTGTCTTCTCGTGAACAAGTCAGAACCTAAAGTTGCAACCTTTTTTCATGCATTTGTTTCAGATCTTGGCTCATCCTTTTGGGGAATGGCTTTGATTCTTGCGTCTACGAATCTCCTGACAGCAAGAATAGCTGCTGGCTGCCTAGCTCTCGCCCTGTTTATTGTTCTCTTCATTGCCAAAAACGTAAGAATAAGGTTTCATGATGAGATTTCCCTTCATTTCTCTTTGATAGTATTTCCCCTTAAGGCACAATAACTTAAAACAAGGAGATCCAATTTTTTGTTTTGACAGTGGACACTCCGAGGGCTTTGTATCGGTAAGTATTCTTATAATTTCTCTTTCCAATTTTCTTTCTTTACCCAGATCCTTTTCATTGCAAGATCTGATTTCCAACTACAATGTAACAGGATTCATAATTTTCCTTGCCATTATCTGGGTTTTACAAGAGACAACGACAGTCAAAATCCTCCGTTATGTCATTTTGTTCATCGGTGAGTTCCTAAGCCTACTTTTCCTTCCAGCAGTTCCATCTTCTCCATCGAAGCTCGGTAACATTCTTGTCGAATATCACAGGTGTGATGAATAGCTTATTCTCAGTTTATGGTATGTATTCCGTTTGTTTATCTCCCACATTAAGTGCTACATAAACCCTTTATCTTGAAAAAGGATCAAGACTTGTATAATCACGGGTTAACTCTGTGTACGCAACGAATGTAGATATCTACGATGATCTGATATCTCGAAGAGTCTATACGAGTGATGCTGAGAAATTTGCTGAGATCTGCCCTTGCTGTACCGGTGTTGGCTGGGGTGTCATCTGGTAAGCCATCTTTTAAGCAATAAGACGGATCCATACATATACATACACATGAATGTAGTGATATACTTCCCATGCTTACATGCATATAGCTTTCCTCCGTGTTTCATTCATATCTGTAAACTCTCAATGAAACTGTTTGGCCATTTTCACTGCAGGGGGGTGATTTCATTGGTGTTTCTCTGCGCATCTTTGTATCTTGGACTTGTAATCCTATCGTAAAGGTACCATCACCTACACGAGTTGGGTTCTTCAGTTCAATTTCAGACACTAAGGAGCAAGAACCTTAAAGAGGCTGTCTCTCATCATCACCTGTTCTTTGAATGGTCTGGAAAACGTCTTTGGTTTCTGTCGAGTTCTTCTGCAACTTCATTGCCTTCTCTGTTGGTGTTCAAGATTTTGGTTTCAGATTCTTCGGGTATCCGATAATCGAAAGCTCATCTTCACCGTCAATTGGGCGTGTCGGATTTGTGCATTCTCGATTCTTGATTCGGACAACACATTTGATCAAAGTTAGATTCTTTTGAAAAAAAAAGTTTGTATTCTTTTGTTGTTCTTGGAGAGTGGAGAGTGGGGAATAGAATCCGTTGATACGTGGAAATAGATTCTTTTCATTGCATATCTCTCATGAACACGCAACTTGTTCCTTTTTGGTGCCATGAAATGCAACCAACCAAACCTAAAAATTTATATTCGAATGTTTAATATAGTCGAGTTATTATTATGTTAAAATTAAACATGAATTATATGTTGAATTGATATAAATTAATTAATTGATGAATTTTTTAGGGGATTTTCTCTAATATGATATATTATGAGTACTAATCATTTGAATTGGTCTATCCGTTTCATTGAAAGCTCGTTGACATTTGGTTAAGCCTTTTTTTTATATTTCATAATAACTATGGTCCAAAGCCTTTTAGAACATTTACAAATGTAAAGTATGCACAACTAATTCCACGCAAAACTACGTCTCTTCTATCCATGAGCGGATTTGGACCTAATATATATATATATATATATATATATAGATTTGGATAGTTTCTTTATTTGCCCCCACACGGCATATTGTTATGGAAGATGTGACAATGATGAGTTAGATTATCTGAACCATCCCTCGCAACTTGTGCATTGTAATGCTTTAATGTATTCACTATTCACATTCATCCAAATGTATCGATGTGTGTATGTGTGTGTATATATATATATATATATATATATT